GGGTTTGTTCCTCCTTTAATAAGATTTTCTTGACGTTTCAGCTCTTACCTGCCAGCCACTGTCTCCCCTTTCGGGGGGGAGGAGGGCAGAGGAGGAGGCATTCGTTACTGTTACATAACGGTTACCTGGAGCATTGCACATGTTCCCAAACCAGGGATGCCTCTAGACCGCAGGTGGGAGGTGATTTTCTATAATGCTGCAGATTGAGTGCAAATGGCTAGGAAGAAACTTTCACAGGGCAGTACTTTCTGGTGTTCAAATGTTTCCCTTGTGCATTTCACAGTAGTTCTTTTTCCCACTCATTTAAGAAAGGAAAGTAATATGTTCAACCAACAAATGGTATCTATAGATCAAATATACTGCCTTTGTGCTTTTATTTCCCTCATCTTCTCAGATCCTGCATGATGTTACACACCATAGTCAGTGTGCAGCGTAAGCCCAGACCCTGTTAGAGACTGGAGCTCAGTATCTTCTGAGCTCTGGTGCTTTGCGAGCTCCTGAGACCAACAAGATTATTTTTTGTTTAGACCAGCAGATACCACTCCCTCTTATTTACATGGACTGTAAAGAAATGCATTAGCTGTTTGGCAAGTGTAGTGGGGCACGTCTGCTTCAATGCTGGGAGTTTGCCTGTCTTACTCACAGGAGCTGTGTGGGCATGGGAGATTGGCCCGTTGGTGTCAACCTGTCCCATTTGTTGAAGGTTTTAATTAGCAGGAGTTTGAATGAGGAACAGCAAACAGACACCTCTTGTGCTGCAGGTCTGCCCCTGGTCCTCATCCTCTTCTCTTCTCCCTTTCACTGCAGGAGCTGGAGTGGCCATAGGGGGCAGTGCTCTGATTGCCACTGGAGGCCTCCTGAGGATCTCAGCTAGGAAACAGGATCCCTTGCGACCCCAAAGCCAAGTCCCCAAACGCAAACGCAAGGCCAAAAAGAAGCGCAAGAATGACGTGGTGGTGGTGAAAGGCAAGCTCAAGCTGTGCTCCGTCTCAGGGCTCATCGCCCTCTGTGGCATCCTGGTACTGCTCGTGGGCATTGCCTTGGCTGTGGTGGGCTACTGGCCAAAGCCCAGCCAGGTGTACAGAGAAGGCAGCTCCAGCGGGGGCCGGCACCTGGCACCACAGGCCGGCCCCCCCCAAGACCGGTCTTGGAACCCAGAAGGGG